GGGAGGAGAGCAGAGGGATGGAGCCAGTTCAGAGAGGGGGGTTATTAGGAGGCCATGAGGGGTAAAGGCCAGGGGTCCAATATGATGATGCTCCAGTCCTCTCTCACACACCAGCTCTCAGCGGAGCTTCACCTGCGAGTCATCACCCACAGCGCTCCAGCGGCTCCTTGGATCAGTTAAGTTAATTAGCGGGCTGCGGTAGATATGGAGGTCTCCTAAGGCTTTGACCCACCCGTACCCCTGGACTGAAGCCCCAGCCTGGGCGGGACAGGAGAGTGAGTCAGTGAGCCAATTAACAGCCGCCGTTAATTACCATGGTTACACCCACTTCCGCTCCAGCAGGGATGAGAGACTCGGTCCGCGAGGGACCAGCGGGGACTCAATTAGCGGCTCGTTAAGACCCCGAACGAGACCTCATTCATATTGGACCCCTGGCCTGTACCCCTCATGGCCTCCTAATAACCCCCCTCTCTGAACTGGCTCCATCACTCTGCTCTCCTCCCACTGAGAGCTGGTGTGTGTGAGAGGACTGGAGCATCATCCAGGTGGGGGTGCAGGGGATCCCCAGGAGCTGTAGAGATATGTAAGTGTGAGAAATTAATACTGCTACTACTACAGTAAACTACAGTCACGGTGTGCTCAGTACCTGTAAAACTCTTTGAGTGGAGTGTCCAGAACAGCGCTACACAAGTGTAATTAATTAATCGATTCGTCAATTCGACTTCCCTGTCAACTGATCGATGAGCACCTCGAGGTCGGGGGCCAGTGGAGATCACGAGCGCCTGTCCCGTTTCCCTTCTTCTTCTGCTGCTGCTGCTGTTTCTCTGTCCGGTTTCAATCCGCAGATTCCCCCCCCTCAACGTTTTCAATTTTCCCACAAACGGGTTCGTCCTTCTCGTTAGCGCCCGGATCCGGTTTGCCGATTAGCGCCCTGAACGCTCACCCGCACGGAAAGGCGCTCTGTCAAGTAAACACCCATCGGCACCAATACATTTCTTGCAGCGGATTCCTCTCCTGCAGGGCCGTGTGGGACACAGCACGGTCAGCCGCACTCGCCTGTCCCGGCCGTGTCTTCGGCGCCCCCTGGCGGCCGGTGCCCTGTCAGTGCGCACAGCCCTGCTCGAGTCACCCGGAGTCTGCCGTGTGAACTTGAAGGGGATCGAGGCGCGCTGCAACCCAGACACGCTCGAATGACACGCATTTCTGTATAATTTTTTTGTAGAGAGATGGTCTTCCGTGGTAAATACCTCAGTTATAATAATAACAACAGTGCGTTGCGCGCTGCATTTTGTTTAAAAAAAGCGCGACGAAAGCGGTCCAGCCTTGTTAAAGACCGGCGCACGCCGAAGGGCACAGCGCGGTACAGGCCCAAGCCCGGGCTCAGGCGGGCCCGGAAGGCCCAGAGCCGATTCCCGCCGTGTCCCCAGCAGAGCTGCACGGAGCCGCCCGGTGGAGGAGCCCAGACTCGGGCTGGGCTGAGCCGAGCCGAGCTGGGAGAACAGAGGGAAGGTTAGAGCGAATCTGCACGTCGGCTCATGAGAGCACAGGCACAGCAGCGTCACCGACTGCATTAGTTCACGTAGTTCAGGTGGGGAGCCGCGTCAGCAGGCGCGGTCGGCCAAGGAACAGGTAAATATTTGCTCGCTGCTGGAAAGAGAAGAGAGAAAACACAACGTTGTGTTTCTTCTCTTTTCAGCAGGGAGCAAACCTTTACTTGTTCCTCAACACGCTGTCCACCTGTTCCAACAGCAAGATCCAGGAGATGTGCAGCAGGACAGGTCCAATACGAGCTACACTCAGTGTAGACATGGCTGTATTACAAGAGCAGTGTTCACCCAAATCACTTGAAAGAAACAGATCGATCACCCTTCTTGTTAATAATTGACTTTTCTCCTTTTTATTGATGCATGTTAAAAGTTTGAAAGAACAAAACAGCTGTTGCTGTGACACCATCTGGTGAAGAACCTCATGTCTGAGTGCACAGCACTGTAAACTCCAACCGAATATCTTATAACAATACAGTAGAACAGTCCTGTTACAATAGGAGCTACAGTCCCAGTACAGTAGAACAGTCCTGTTACAATAGGAGCTACAGTCCCAGTACAGTAGGACACTCTGTTACAATAGGAGCTACAGTCCCAGTACAGTAGAACAGTCCTGTTACAATAGGGGCTACAGTCCCAGTACAGT